GTTAAGTTCAGAAGTAGACTCAGCTTCCATGTAACAGACCTTCTATTTCGACTCGATCTCTGGCTTTACACTAATTATTAGCCGAGTATTTTGTATTCAGTTTCGTCTGAACTTAGTTTGCTTTACTGATCAGAAAAGCATCCGATCTGTGAAGCACTCGGAGAGCTTTCTAAGCACTTACGGGTGGGGATGAGAGAGAGAGAGAGAGAGAGAGAGAGGGAGAAAGGAAGAGAGGGAGAAAGATAGAGAGGCAGAAAGAGAGAGAGATAGAAAGGGAGAGAGGGAGAAAGAAAGAGAGGGAGGAAGGAAGAGAGGGAGAAAGAGAGAGATAGAGAGAGAGAAAGAGAGGTAGAGAGAGGGAGAAAGAGAGAGAGAGGGGGAAAGAGAGAGAAAGAGAGAGGGAGAAAGAGAGAGAAAGAAAGAGAGAGAGAAAGATAGAGAGAGAAAGAAAGAGAGAGAGAGAAGGAGAAAGAGAGAGGGAGAGAGAGAACTATATATATATTTCTCGAAAGTAGTCGAAACGATTTCTTCGCTGGCAACACAGTTGCCATTTCACAGATACGCGTCATGTCCATATGGCAATTCTGGTTCCAGGACTTAACTGAATTTACAATTACTATATTACACTGCTAATCCTATGCTGACGCTAAACAACAGCTGAGGGTAAGTCTGCCAAAATTGACCTCGGATATTTCAACGCTACGAGACCTATTAACATACATTACGCAATCAGATCAAATTACCTTACACACATACATAAGTACTTATGTTATTCAAGGGGAAACGAACATTGCCACAAAAATACACATGCAAGTACATACATACTTACAAACTCATACAAATCTCATTAGCGAAACTACGAAAATTAATTAATACAAAGTGTGAATCGAAATGTGCGTCTGCGTGTGGGTGTGTATGTGTGTATGACAGCACATATCCTTTTGTTTGGTGCAACTACAAAAAAAAAGGATAACATAGCCATAGACATGCAAAGGAACACGACCTCTAACACCCGGTGCACTCAAGTGGCCGGCCATCTGCAGCAGCAGCGACAGCGGTGGTGTGCGAGCTCAAGGTGTTCGCTGCATTGACAAAGGTCCTTGCACGGGTCAGAGAGGGAGAGAGAGAGAGGGAGGAAGAGAGCGCGAAAGAGCGAGAAAGAGAGAGGTGATAAGTATATCGAATGAAAACCGATATGGAAATGTGCTGAAGACAAAAAACGAAATTTTTAAAAATATATCAAATGAACAATGAAATTAAATTTAAATATACATCTGTATATGTGTATTGGCCATTCTAGTGCTGTTGTTTGCACAGTTGCTTACAGTTTTGCTGGCACACGCCATAAGGAGCAGCCGGGCATGATAAGGATGAAGCCATTTGGGGCTTCAATTTCGTCGCATATGAATTATAAATATTTTGTATATATGTATATTTGTATGCAGTTATTTGGTTATAACGGCGTATCATATTACCGTTGACTGGTGCAAAAGGTAGCCAATTGAAAATTACAAATAAAATTGTATCAAAGCCTAAGCAGCAAATATTATTACCATATGCATGTTGGGCGACTGAGAGTTCCGAGAACAAGGCGTAAGCTGAGACCTGAGGGCTTTTTTGAATATCCCTATAGTGATCGAAAATTCTTTCAAACGAGATGTTTGACTAGAGCCGCAAAACGTAAAGGTGGGAAGGTTAAACTTAGCATTATTCTCTTTCCAGAACTTTTTTTCGCGTAACGGTGAGCGACAATCAAGAAAGCTGTAGGGATTCTGCCAACCAATCAACTATCGGCGAAACCCTTGATGTGGTCATGAAAGTCAGCAAGTAATAGCAGCAACAGCTGTGAGGCACATTTAAGATCCTGCCACCTTTACTCTGGGACAACCAAGCTTTGGGCCACTGTCAAATTGTAGCCACGCCCAACGAAACACATTGGCTCAATGGAATTTTCATTCGAAGAAGCCCGTGGGGTTTTTATTCGACTTTTTATATTGCGTTCTTCGGTTTACATCACAAAATGAAGCGACGAATGACCCGCAATAAATAAATTACCCTGCTCCGATTGGAACGCCGAAGTGTAGTAAGATAAAGATGAAGAAACTAAAAGCATGTCACAGCACCGCCCTTAGGATCGTGACAGGAAACCTCCGGATGTTACTCACGCATCACTTACACAGTGACGCATTTATGCTGCCAGTAAGATGGTACCGTTGTAATTATCTCAGGAAGGAATTATTTGAAATTGTCAACTCCATACAGCACCATAGACGAGAATCACTGAACAGGACGGCGTATCGACTAGCTTCTAACACAAATAATCGAGAACCCATCAAAACCTTCACGAGCTGCATCGGGTGACCTGAGTAATACTGGCACATTAAGATCTGTATATAGTATTCGAATTAGTTTTTACCGAATCAGACTTGACATCGACAAACAAAACGTATGTCCAGCATGAAATGAGACCCTGCACGTCACTAACCACTTCTTTGCAGCTCCCCCAAAACCAAATCATCTGAAAGGAGGTTCTTCTTCTGATGCGTCTTATTTAGCAAGAAGTTGGAAAAGAGTAAAAGTGATTTTCTAAACAAAAATCTGAAATAGGAGCACACGAAAATATCAAAAACACATGAGCCTCGCTCGTCCTTCACGGTGAAAGTTTTGGAGAGGCAAAACATTCAGCAGCTCAGCAACACTAATAATCTACGTTAGCAGTAGGGCTCCTGAAGGAGTTGTTTTATCTCATCTTCTGTGGGTAGTGGCGTAGAACGAAAGGCCGCTCGACTACTGCTATATACTCGGATAAGTGGGAGTCGTTGATAGCGTTATCCTCGCTAGTAATAATTCCAAATCTTATTAACAGGGCAAGGAAGTATCTAACCCCGAAGGCAGGTCATTGGAACATTTTTGTTTTTCGTTAGGCCGACGAGTCGTTTACTCAGGTCACCTAGTGACGATTATGAAGTGAAATGAATATCTTCACTTGCAATCGAACAAATAACCCCAAACAGTTGAAAGGTCCTTAGGACCTTAGTGGGACATCTTTTTCATCATCACCGATTGGCGTGCGCGGTTTCGTCATATCCGGGTGCTGTACTTTCACTGGCATTCAGAAGGCTGGAGAAGCGTTCCCTGCATACAATAAGTATGTACTGCACATCGTTCACCATATTACCCCCTTGGTTCACACGTGAGTATGTTCGGGTCTTGAAACCTTCTATGAGTCGTCGTATCTTTTCGTAGAATATTTCAGCGTTATCAGCTTCTCAAGCTCTTCATACTCACGCATTTCGGTGTCTTTCCTTTTGTGCCAGCAAATGCTTCAGCTCTCGGTATCTATCGAGTCCTAAGGTCCTCGAAGCGAACGCACATCTAGAACACTGGAAAAGAAGTCAATCGTCTATCACAACAAAATCGATCTGGTAGAGAGTTTTTCCATTTGGATTTTCTTGCACTGGAATCTTGTCCTACAGACAAACATATTTCGGGCTCCTTCGAAGTTTCGTTGTGGAGGCCGAATTTTCCGACAGATGTACTGAAGAAATTTCTTTGCCCAACCTGGCACTAAAGTCGTCAAGCATAATTATCACATTGTGGCGGGTGCAGCTTTCATATCGTCCTTCCCTTTATACTGGGCTACTTCAATAGTGTATTTCACAAGGACCCACGTTCTTCCGTTCACTTCTTGGACGGCTGTGATTTTAGTCTTTTATTTCCCGAGGATATCAACAGGTTGGGCAGCTGCTTCTTCCCAATTAAGAGACCTAAAATCGTGATCCTTCAAGCCTTTGTGGTGGTCATCACCAAGACGGGGGTTTCTCAAACCATTTCTCATTGCATTCACCTTTTCACCTTAGCTCACCACCAACTGGATGCTTATTTGCTCCCAGAGTATATATGGACTATGAGCGCAAGGTGTGTCTTGCTTGAAGCAAATTTTTTCAGTTGAATGGTAGTCCAAAGCTTATCTCACTTGCGTGATAGATATAAAATGCTGTTTTTCCCCAGTCTCGTTTTCTATGGTACATATATGAAAACAAACATTTTCTAGGTGTAGACTATGTTTAAAAAACCTAACGTAATCCAATTTGAAAACTCTTTCGTTTTTATAAAAAGTCTCGTTTTCTGTGGTACATGCATTGTTTGAGTAAATTACATTAGTTTTTAAAAAAAAAAATGTATTTATATTTTTGATCAGTCTCGTTTACCATTAGACATTTATTGCGTGAATTGAGTCGTGAGTTTGCAACTGCTCTCATACTTGCATAAATAAAATCATACATATGTATATGCTTATATACCTAATTGTTTGCATAATAATAGTAGATAAAAAAAAATTCGAATAGTCATGCTGAAATTTTTTCTTTGAAAATTGAATACACTCACATATGTACATATTAACTGCTATTTAATTTGTGCGTGTGTGTAGGAGGGCCATCACTACGTTGAAAGGACTAGGTAGAGAACCACCTGGCTGCACTTGGTATATCCAATTGACGCCAAACAGCAAACGGAAGAGACGAATTTCGCAATGCCGCTGACTCGGCTATAATCGCGTAAGCGGTGTATATGCCAGTAATGTAAGTAAGTATGTAAGTGTATGTACATATGCACACTTTGGGCGGGCGGGCGAGTGCCAAACGTCCGACAATCGCTTATTTACCTTTAATAATAGACATAATCTATCATATCGGTATTTATAAGAATTCCATGCCAATAGATATACATTTGTATGTGTGTATGTATGTATGTCCCCAAGGCATCGGTAATCTTATCGAGGTAATTCCGCATTTATATGCCATACATTTTATTGTACATACATACACGTACATGCATGAGAATTTAATATATTTTTTTCAATTAATTAATTTATTCGTTGATATTTCTGATATTTTTGCTGCCTAATTCCTCACTGATAAAGCAAAGGCAAACCAAAACAAAACTTCCCTCTGCTCTTACATACACGTATATTATTATATTCAGTCTTCTTGGCGCATTCTTGGACATAGCATGTTCCTGTACGCAACGGTAACAATGTCGGACGCGAGTTCGGAATCAGAGAGTTCAGATTATGGCGTTGAAAAGTCCATTTTAGGAAAACGCACAGGTCAAGTTCCACGACGTCAACGTACGAGGAAGAAGAGTCAAAAGAACAATTTCCAAGGCACGCATAGACGGCGCATGTGTATTATGTGCCTTGGTGTTTTTCTCTTTCTTATACTAGTTTGCTTGGCAACAGTACTGGCAATAAACAATAGCAACAATGTATATTATAACAGTGCTTACAACAACAGCAAACATATTGATGATGAAAGTAGTTCAGGCATAAACGTACTCGTCCTGAATTGGCATACCAATACATTGCCACAAATCTTTTCGATCTCCTCTAATTGTACCGTTACATTTGCCAAGACTTCACATAATGTGAGTATGTTGGATTATTATCGAAATGATGTGATCATTTTGAATTCAACAGTGCAAAACATTTTGGACGACAAAGACCTATTTCTCACACCAACGTCGAATCAACTTGTGATTTTTGCTACAAACAAACCATTGCAATATCATTTGCATACAAAAACAAGTGCAACGCAGGCGAATTGGGTGTTTAGTGCATTTCACAAATCTCTTTCATATTCCTTAAAATCTGATTTCCACTGGTCCACTTATCGTATATTCCGTCAAAATGATTATAAACTTCTGGCGCCCTCAAGGCAGCCGCAATGGCTGGGAGCGAGAGCGGCGCGATTTGTGAATAACGCTACGAGAGATTTTTGGTACGACAGTGTTCACAAGTCGTCGCCACTGGCGTTGAGCATATTGAGCGGACCGTGTCAGGTGGGACGAAACGAGTTGATCGATCGCATTGCGGAGTATATAGAGGTGCATAAATACGGCGAATGCGGCGATTATGAGTGAGTGAAATAGGAATATATTGAAAATGTGTGTCGGAAGTGCCCAAATCTATAATCTGATTGAAGTTTTCGCAATTTACTTTTGTCATTTACATAAAGCTTTTTTCATTATGTAATAACATTACACATTTATTGATTTAAAATAATCTATTGCCCTTTAATAACTGGTTGGCAACATTACTTTAAAATATTATCACCTTTGGACACTTTTAATTGATAACCAAATTGAACAGATAATGTGTGTTATTATATTAATTTAATAAATTGACTATTGGAATTTGAGCGAAATTTAGTCAAAAATCTACTACAGTAAAAGCTCTCACGAACAAATAGTTTTTTTACCGTATTATTTTTATTTTTAAACGTTTTTTGCATATTTTATATACTTGCATATATATATATATATATAAATATTAATATTTTAAATTAATGCTAAAAATTTTTTTATTTTAACTAATTTAAATGCATTTTATACTAATTTATTTTACATTATTTAATCTAATTTTTTATTTAATTTAATATTAATTTTTTTAATTTTAATTTCGTTTTATCTACATTATTTATTAAATTTATTTGATTTTTTTGTTTTATTTCATACTTTTTAATAAATTGTATTTTTCCCTTTTATTTTATTTCATTTTTATTTAATTATTTTTTGTTTTTATATTATGTTTTTTAGTTTTATAATTTAGAAAATCTTGTCTTAGCTGGACGTAGTGTGTACTGCCTTTGGGGTTCTGGTCCGACCAACTTCCACAAATTATAAAAGATTGATTTAGATAAAAATATTGTTTAATTTTTCCGATCGTGTTTGGCAAATGATCTAGATGGCTTAGAATAAATTTATAAAATCAGGGTTAAGACTTTAATTGTGAGATCTATCAATATGACTACAATCACATCGAATAACTTGTTGTATGTATAATTTTGACATCGGATAATGGTTTCAAAATTTTTTTTCGCAACCAAAAACACACAACATAGTTTTCTACATATATTAAAAAAACATTTTCAAGGTGTAGACTATGTTTAAGAAACCTGAAGTAATCCAATTTGAAAACTCTTTCGTTTTTATAAAAAGTCTCGTTTTCTGTGGTACAGACATTGTTTTGAATAAATTGCATCAGTTAAAAAAAAAGGGATTAATATTTTTGATCACTCCACCATTAGACATTTATTGCGTGAGTCGAGTAGTGAGTTTGCAACTGCCCTCATACTTACATAAATAAATACATACAAATTTTTTTTCGCTGCCAAAAACGCACAACATCATAGCGTTTGAGACGATAGGCGATCTTGTTAAATACAAGCTACTTTAGCAAGTTCTAGCTCACAGACAATTTCTACATATTTTTGTGCTGATTCTTAAATAAAATGAATAATTACCTCACATTAATAATTGTCGGGGAAGACTAAGCTTTTAAAGATGGTTTATCCACATAAAGCTTACACATTGGGGCGCTTTTTTAGAAATATGGAAAGCAAAGGAACAACGCAAGACTTCGGCTAATGAGCAGTACAAATTGACTTTTGATTCAGTCGATTCTAGGATTGATTAGGCAAGCCCCGAAACAGTTTATTTTACCTTTCGACGTTTGACTGAGAAGTTAGGTTTTCTTAATTTTGACTCACAATACTTGAATCAAAGTAAGAAATTGGTTTTTATATCGATCGGGCTTTACCGGTCACATCTCCGACAAATCAAGCATTTCGAGAAGTGACTGTCTATCGAATTTTGATTTATATATATATTTAATTTTATCTAAGTTATTTTATTTCACTTATTTTACTTTCTTTTTCTATTTGTCATTGTTTAAAATTTTTTTTAAATATATTACATTTTTTTAATTTATTTTACTTTCTTATATATAATATATTAAAATTTTATTAATTATACATTATATAATACATAATTTTTCTTATTTGTTTTAGTTTGCTTTGCTTTGGTTTTATCATTTTTACTTCATTTTTATAATTTTTTTCAATATTTTTTTGTTTTTTATTACCTTTTTTCTTTTGTGTTGTAATATTTTTCATTTTAATTATTTGCTTTTCTTTTAATATATTTTATGTTTTTATATTTTTTTTTAATTTTTAATTTAATTGTGATTTATTTATGATTTTTATGATTTTCAAATTAATTTTTATAACATAAAATAAAACAAATATTTTTAGTTTTTTTTTATCAGATGATAATTAGATTTTATTTAATTTTAGTTCTTTGTTTATTTTTATTTCTTATAATTTACTACTTTCATTTAATTTATTTTATTAGCTTCATTATATTCTAATTTATTTAATTTATTTTTATTTTGATTATTTTTCTATTAAATATATATATTTTTTTCTATTTTTTTTTTTATATTATTTTTTTATATTATTTTTATTATTTATATTATTTTGAATATTTTTGTGTTATCCATTTCATGGTTACAAAAGTACAGATCTATATTTTGTCATCTGCCAAACTTAGTTGTCAAACCAAATAGGGTTTTTTTTCAGTTAAAGACAGCCATCTATGAAAATGGTTCGCAGAAGAACCGCACAACGCGTTAAAATTGCTTAAAACTACCAAAAAATTGTGATTTACAAATATGGTTGCGACATTTCGTGCTTTGAGAGAAGATTGTGATGCACATAATCGTACAAATATGAAGAGAATGAAACGGTTATGGAACGTTTTGCTCGCTCTCAAGAGACGAAACTTTCTTACGGCACAATTCGGTGTATTTTGTACTTGGACTTACACCTATCGTACAACCATATAAAGTCCAGCTAACCAATCACAATGCCGTACATATGTACATCGATTTGGTTCATAAACAACAAGCATTGGGCGGTGATTTTTCCAACAAAATTTTCTTCAGTCACTCGGGGCATACGTAAACAAGTAAAATTGTCACATTTGGAGCCTCGAGAATTCTCAAATAATTGAATAGAGGTCATCTCGCTAAAAAAAAAAAAAACTTACTCTCTGCTGCGCTCTTTGGTTCGAAGCTGTGACTGGCAAGACTGTCACTATCAATTCGTAGCATTTTGGTCGTTTGATCGTTTCAATCGACCTTTTTTGGTCTGCAATTGAAGAAAACGGATTGAAAACTATGTGGTTCAACCAGATGATGCCACACACCCTGAGCGAATATAGCGTCATTGCCAGAGAAATTTCACGGCCGCGTAGTATCTCGTCTTGGCGATGCCAATTGGCCGCTGGGATCGTGTGATTTTTCAGTGTTGGACTTTTTCGAAGGAGTTGTGCATTTGAAATCCAACATTCGTCAAGTGGTGGTTGGGATCCACCCACTGTGTGCAAAAGAAGCCAAATTTGCAAAAAATCGCGATGCGGTGTAAAATTTGGCATGCCAAGGCTTAAACTTAATAATAAATTGGAGTTTTATGAAAGAAAAAATACTTTATATGCATTTTATTTAGGTTAAATTTCGGCACCGCAAAACGGCTAACCCTGTGTATTTAATTTTATTTAAATTTTTTTTGTATTTTAATTTATTTTTATTTATTTTTTTATTACATTTTATTTTTTAGTTATAATAATTTATTTTTTTAAATTTAAATGTTATTATTTTATTTTTATTTATTTTCTTTTATATACATTTATTATATTTATAGTTTTATTATTTTTTTTATTTTTATTTTTATTTTTATTTTCCAGCTGCTTGGAAAACGATTGCCTACTCATGCCACAGAGTCGTGGTAATCGGACTTACAAATTCTATTTGGCCTTCGAGGAGGAACTTTGCGAGGATTATGTTGGTGAAAATTTTTTCAAAGCTTTGCAGGCGAGACTGGTTCCAGTTGTGTTTGGTGGTGCCAACTATAGTAACTTCGCGCCGCCCAATTCCTATATAAATGCTCGTGATTTCGCAAGCATGCGTGAGTTAGCGGAATATTTACTTTATTTAGATAAGAATCCTACGGAACACATTAAATATTTCGCTTGGCATGATTGGTATGGAATTCTAAAAGTCGAATTAGATTTTCTGGAAGTTTGTCATTTTTTGCAAAAGGAAAAGGAGAAGAAGACGTTTCCACCTGCCAAATGGCAGAAGTCAAAAACCGTTATGAGCTGGTTAAATGCGAATAAATGTGAAGCCTATAAATTGCCAGAGGCGTGGCTGTCCTGAGGATGACAACTCATGTTTGGGTGACTCTTATTTTGTGATTAAATATATTTATGCCTCTCGTCTCATTTAAAAAAAAAAAAGAATTGCATGTAATCTAAATATTTAAGCCTTAACATTATAAAATAATTTAGTTGTAATTACGATAAGAATTGCTGAGTTTTGATTAATATGATTTTTTTCTTTTACCTTTTTTTAATATGTATGTTTATTAATCGCGATTAGATTGGGTTGTTTTGTCAATTAAACTTATCAATTAGTCTATTTATAAACAATATTAAAGACCCTTAAGCGAGTTTGTGCTGATCTTCTTCTTCGCCTACCGGAAGAAGGGGGAAACGTCTTTTACAAACTGCCTATGAAAGGGTTGTAAGTTTAAAAGAGAGCTTGTGTTCCAAGTAGATATACTTTTTTCAGTAGCCTTTTTTTGACAGATCGCCGACAATTTGATGCCTGAAACTGAGAAGCTCGTGATATGGTTCTGCATCTATCAATGGATTTATTGACAGAAAACTTCGGTGAGCAGAAAATTTCACGTATTGGGCTATCCAATTGGCTACCAAGATCGTGTGATATCATACTGTTAGTCTATTTCCTGTGGGGTAAAGTCTAAAGCCTATACAGACAAACGCTCTTCAGTTGAGGCCTTGTAGCAAAACATCACTTGTGTCAGTCGAAATGCTCGAACGAGTCACCGAAAATTGGACTCAACGAAAGTGCCATCTGGGACGTAGCCGAGTGGTTAGCATTGCGTACTACGATTCGTAAGGCTCGGGTTCAAATTCTGGTACGACTAACATCCAAAAGTTATGGAAAATTAATTTAAATCATAAATTAGTTAAATTTTCTAAATGTGGTCGTTCTCGGCAGGGAATGTCAATCCCTCCGAGTGTATTTCTGACATGAAATAAAGGCTCCACGTAAAAAAAACCATCAGCCATTCGGAGGCGGCTTAGTATAAACTGTAGGTCCCTCCATTTGTTGGAAAAAAACATCAAGACGCAAAACCCCAAATTGGAGGCTGAGCTCGGCCGAAAATGTCACTTCAGCGGTTACAAAGTGGCGTCGAGGAGTGGCAAACTGGCAGTGGAACCTTGTCGTGTTATGGAAGCTTTCATTTTCTTTTGCTTCCATTAGCAAGTGCTGTATCGAAATTTCTCAGACCTTCGATCATAAATTTTCTTCACAAACTTTCGTTCGAAAATTTTTAGCGCCGATTTTTCGGATGCTTTTACCTTCAAAGACTCTGTTCCGGATTCTCTGAACATCTTATATTTTCCCTGTCACATTCCAATTGTTCTCTATTTCGTTAGGAAAATTCGCTTTGTTACCCTCTTCCACTCTCGGTATTTTTCCCAGTCACGCTGTATTAGTTACTTTACTGCAGTGAGACATTCCTCAGCGTACCAGCTCGTATCTCCCCTTATCTACCCGACGATTAAAGCCAAAGCCCATAGCAGTTGATTTTGGGCTAGACCAAAGTTTGCCGAGTAATCATGATTGTTCTCTGAAGAACATACGACTATTTATATCGCAAACCAAAGTTTGCTGAATAATCATGATTGTACGAGTATACGAGTATTTGTATCACAAAAAAACTAATTTTTTTACGATATCTACTATCTATAACGGTAAATGTGTGACTGTTATAATGCACAACACCTGGCCACCATGCAAGCTTTCGTACCAAAAAAAGATAAACACCAGATATTGGCGCGATGACTCTTGCTTTTTCCCCTACTGGCTAAGAAAACGAAACGAATGGGTGTGGTGGTGAACGAGGAAGAAGAAAAAGCTCATCAAGGGTGCAGTCACTGTTGATAATCAATCTCAAGGTCGTAGATAATTTCATTAATCTAAGAATGAGCATTAACTTCAACAAGAGTGTCAGCCTTGAAATTCAAAACCAGCCATGCTAAGAGATGCCTACTCAGTCCGATTGAAAAAACTCTGCAAGTCGCTTATTACCCCTGTCTTGCTGCGTGAAATGCGAACCATGACAATATCTGATGAATGAGCTTTGGGAGTTTTCGGATGAAGGGTTTTGCAAAAGATGTATGGTCTTGTGCAAATTGTCGACGACGAATACCCTATACGATGGAGCAATGAGCTGTATGAGCTGAGAGAGAGCGCTTAAGCTAATCCGGCTAGATGAAAACACTCAAATAAAATCATAAGTATTTATATACAATAAAATGTTCTGTGGGGCAGTGAGGTCGAGGGTAATATGAATAAAAGGAACGGATGATCAATTTTTGACAAAAGTAAATGGATGCCGTAACAGTCGGACAAACCTTAGCTCGCATAAGAAATAGATAATTAAAACAATAAGCTACTCCGTTGCCTTTCAACTCGAATAAAACACTCCATGTGCTACTAAGGAGAAGACAAAGCTCCAACTTGAAACAAAACAAAAAGTAGAGATCCATTTTACAGCCGAAACTAGGTATAAAGGTAAAGAATGGATCACTTACCGTATGGTTTTCAAATTATGCCTGATTAGAGCCTTGACATCTTCAATGACCGATGTGATTAATATTCGGTACAAAGTTCGAGGCTTATAATCACTGAGAGCTCCTTCTCCAGTTTGTGATGAGCATGCTGATGTTTATCCAACAAATGAGGGACCTACAGTTTCTTCTACGCCATCCTCTTAGGGCTGATGGATGTTAATGAGGAACTTATATATAGCAAAATAGCTCGTCTTTTAGGCGGTTTGTGTGTCAATTTGTGCAGCGAGCTCGCCAGCCGTTCGTTATTGAACAGAACAACTCGTGCGTACTCGTTCACCACTTTCAGGGAAGAAAGTGTCTGTCATAGCTAAAAGTCCAATTAGCCCAAGAACTGATCTTCATGACCAACTGATGTAATTACGCTTCGCTTAATTGACTGAAGACCGCTGGGTAGAAGATGATCATTTTGATCGAAAAATCCTCTTTTCCGTTGAAGGTCTTTTTCAACTCGGCGGCTGGGTTAACAGATAAAATTAACAAGCAAAACTGCCATATTTGGGGTTCAGAAACCCAACAACCAACAGAAGACCACTTTTTTTCGAAAACGAGCAAGTCGAGTCTGTTACTCTCAATGGAGATTGTTGCTCTGAGATTCTTTAATTGCAAGAGAACAGCACTAACTACCAAACAGCCAACGTTACAACCGATCTTATGTATGTACAGTGTGTTCGAAAATCACGTACTTAGCCGTAACGGGGATGTCAAATAACCGTCTCATAGTGGCGATGTGATTCCGCTGCGAAATTCTTGTGGGTAGCTGTTAGGAATACCTACTACGTCAAACAACCAAAGACGATTCAAGTCTTAATATACGAAACTGTAGTCGCCATTGCAGCTGCAGAGGTTCACAGAATCGGAAATATGTAAAAAAAAAACTTGGTCCGACAGGAAAAACCAGCCACTGCATGGCCAGTCGCGGCGTCTATCATTAGTCGGCAGGCAGAGGCATTTCCCAATCTTTATTTAGGTGTCGTGTTGACCAGCAAAAGGTCGTGGCGTCTATAGACTTATGTATTAAGAAGAGTATTGGGCTGGTCCAAACTTCTTATGATGGAAAGCTACAGAGAAAATAACATATCTGAATTGGAATATCGCATTCATAACTTTTGCGAGGCTTCACGTCTCTAACTAACCCTGAATGAAAATGTACGGACACAAAATCTAAAATCTCGAAAGACTTCTTGCGGCGGCAATAAATGCGCAGTTGGAAACAGCAAAGGACTCCAGTGTGTGGGCAATCATTACAAATGGTTGTAAAATGAACGGGGAATACGCAGATTAAAAAGATTTTTTTGTCGAAATATTTACAACAAAACAGTCGGCAGAACCAACGCTGGAGGCAAGTCCTCCACACAGGAGTAAATAAAGTGTTAAAGTCCATGAAGTATCACTTTCAAGCAGCGCAACCACTGCCGTTTTTGCGCTCTGTAGAAAAGCAATTAGAAGACAGACGGAAAAAAGTTTACCTTTACTGGATACAAACGCCTATGGAGAACGAAAGGAAGGAGACCGTAGCGAAAGCTCGTATTGTGTGCTTTCAGTCTCCCTCAGAGAGTTCTAGCATTCATATGACACTTTTTTTTGACGTCAAGCTTCAGGAACTGGCAAAGTGCTGCATATTGGCGAAAACTAAACGGTCTCCCAAAATTACCGTAAGATTTCAATATGTCAACATTTATGTAGTAAAGTGTCGACAATCCTAAAAAAATAGCAACAAAAGCGTTACGCGATAGAACAATTATTTTCGAACTATACTTTAAAAATAGTGAAAGCTTGAATTTCCAAAGAGCTATAGCCGAAATAGTTGCTTAACTTCGTCAACTTAGATTAAATGAAATATTCTGGGAACCAGCAATCGTTGGAGACGTTAAACGTGCTGATCGTTCAAAAAACAATTCGTTCAAATCACATTATCGAAGCAGTGCGTGAGAGTGTCGCTGGCAAACCAGGAACTTTAATTCGGCATCGGCAATTAACAGAACAAGTGAAGCCTAATATCCATGTCAGCGAAGAGAGTTTGTTGAATGGATTATTTAGCATCAACAACATGGATGCAATGAAGCCCACTTTTACTTTGATGGTTTCGTTAATCGCCGAAATAGTCGCTTTTGTGATTCCCAGAACCCAAATGTGATTTTCGAAAATGAATCCAGAACGTGTCACTAACTCAAGGAGGATCTTGAGATATTACAACATGATAACCTAGACTTTTTGCCGATATTGGATGATATTAATATGGCCAATATGACGTTTTAACAAGACGGTGTCCTATGTCACACAGCCCGTGAAACACTTCAATTACTTCATGAGACATTTCGAGGTTGGTTACACTTCCATTTTGGTTATCGGGATTGGTGTCGTAGATCGTGTGATTTAACGCCATTAAATTTCTTCTTACGGAGCTCATTAAAATCACAGGCCTGTTGCAATAAGTCCACCACCACGCCTGCTTTAAAAGAGGCGATTCAAGGTTGTGTAGAGAAAAGTCGGCCATATTTATGTGTAGGCTATTTCCCCGATGTTTTATTCCCTATGAAACCCTATTCTATGTCCGTTATGGTGCAATAAAATAATTACAGTCTAGAGACTAGAAACTGTGTTTTGTATTTATTCTAATTATGGTGTTAATATTGGGACACCCTTTATGTTTAAATCTAATGACGCGAAGCTTAATAAGCTTTTACGACAAGGAAGTCCG